TTAAAAAAAAAAAGTAGTGGGTGTGAAGTACTCAACACATTCCAGAGCATTCACCCCACACTACTATGACCTTTTTTATGCTCTGTATATTAAAGCTAAACCATTTATCTACAGCAAATAGCCATTTTCATTAGCTACATAGTGAAGCACAGTAGCATTTGATTTTTTAAAATGCTGGCTTGATTAAATGTGTGTGTGTCATATTATTGGAATGTCAAACCTGGTTTTTCTCTTTTCCAGATGGTATATTACTTATGGTCATGAACTCATTTGGAAGAACAGGGAGCCTCTAGTGAAAATGTGGCATGAAATGAGGACTGATGGTCCCAAAAAAGGAGGTGGCTCTAAATAAAACTGGGGTTGGACATTACTGGTGCATCTGATCTGTGCTGCCTGGAAGCTCCAAGAGTGCATTGGCCCTGGAGGGACCACAGCTCCTGCCTGGAAGACACTCAGCAAGCAGCTAGCCTCCCCAGCATTTTAAACTCTGTCCCCCAGTACTTGTCTCCTTAGAAAGTGAATTATGACAAAGTTGTGAAATAAAGATTTATATCTCTAGTTTGTAAACAGGAGGTGTGGTCTCTTTGAGAGCATCAGTGCTGCTCTGGCATCTTTGTTTTGACATTGTTTGGCCAGTGAACCTGGTCAGGGGGCCCCTTGAAAGGGATGATAGAAAGAAACTTGATGGCCTTGGTTTTGGCCTTGACCTTCTGGCATCTCTGCTTAGTACAGACTAACCCATCCCTTTCATTGGTTGACAGAAGTTAAGAGCATCTTCTCTTTGCCATAGTCTGAAATAACAGCTGCAGATACTTTCTAAATGTTCCCAAGAAAGGTGGAGTTTCCTGGCAGTGAGAGGCACATACATAAAGCTATTTTTAGGTTTTGCTTTCTAGGTTAAAATTGTAGCTAAATTAAGAGTAAAAGGAAGTGACTTGGATAAATTCAGACTTGAATCTGAGCCCAACTGCATCTTATGTTTGAAAAGGTACATTCTAATGGAAACGTCTTCCTGAAATAGTTGCTGTCGTCATTTTGGCCTCACTGCAGTGGGGTTCACATTGCCTCATGGTGGAGAATCACATCGAGGAAATGCAATTTGAGGATTTTTCTTGAAAGCATTTACAGGAGAGGTTTTAGTTTTTTGGTAGCCTTAAAATGTTATACCAAATCTTGCTTTAGCTGGGGAGGAGTAGAAGCCCTGATGTTAGCCTTGCCTGGCTAATTTGCTCCAGTTTGTGCACCGCTGGGCTTTCTAAGCAGTGAGCTCTGAGAGCAGTGGGGTCCCACCCACCTCACCAGGTGGCTAAGAACTACATTACAGCACATGCCTGGCAATAAATACTGTCCGGTACTTGGTAATTTTTTTAAAGAGTGAGAGAGGAAGGAGAGAGAGCAAGAGAGAATTTTTAATATTTTTTAGTTCTCGGTGGACACAACATCTTTGTTGGTATGTGGTGCTGAGGATCAAACTCGGGCCACACACATACCAGGCGAGCGCACTACCGCTTGAGCCACATCCCCAGCCCACTTGGTAATTCTTAACTCTTCCACCAGCGTGGTTGGCTCCACTGTGAAGTACCCAGTTATTTTCAGTAGGCAGAGGATTGTAAACTAGCATCCCTTCTGGAATTGTCTTAACCCAGCCCTCATTTTGCCAGTAAGGAAATGACTGGTGGAGGGTAGGGTGACTGCACTGCTCTGCCATTTCTGAATCTGCTAATAACCCTATGACAAATGAGACAAGATATTTTCTGTAGTTGGGATGAGAGGCTGAGCTCACACAAAATTTTGTCTATTTGAAGGCAAATCAGGAAAAGAGGCAGTGAAGACCTCTCTCCTGTCTCTGCTGTGTCAGAGAAGTAGTGTTGAGAAGTCTCTGGAGCACTTACCTGTCTATAAAGTCCTTCAGCTGAGGAGCCTTTGAACAATGGAGGACCTTGTTCCCTGTGAATGAGTGGCCATGGGAGGCCCAGCTCCCTGAAGCCTGCCCAAGCTCTCCTCTTGGCCACTAGGGAATTTAGCTTCCCCTCATCAAGGCTTTGCTGACCCTTGACCACACCTCCTTGGCCATACTCTCCCTGGGCCTGGGCCATGGGCCTGCCTCTAAAGTGTGGGGTTCCTCCAAATGCACCCTGGCCATCCTGCCTCTCTCTGCTCACACTGCTATGGGAGCTTCTGCAGCTTCAGTTGTTTGTGTCAGGTCTGCTGAGCTCCTGGCCCTCTAGATAACTCTGATGTAGTGAATGTAAACTCAGTACCCACGGCTCTGCTCCTGTTGTCTACTAGGCCACAGCCTGGCCTGCTCAGTTGGCCAATGTAATGTCATGGTGCTGTGACTTCCAACTAAGGCAGTGTTTGAGGCAATGAGACTCTGGCCAGTGCAGCACTGCAGTCATCTCGGAGGTGCAGACTGGACACCTTCCGAGTACAGTCTGGAGAAGGAGCTCCAGCTCATCAATGCTGTTTTGACAGTGTTTGGTCTGCAATGAATACTGAAGGCATGTATCAAATACTCAGCCTTTGAATGTGTCCAAGGAGTTGTTCTGATACACTGTCCTACCTGAAATTGACCTTTACCCTGCAGAATTATCCCAATTTAGCTATATGTTCAAACAATTTGCGTGCACAGTAGGGAAAGGAACTATAGAGCATAACTGGCCAAAGTTTTGTATCCCTGTCGCGAATGAGCATAGTAAAAGCAAAGAAGCTGGGGACTCTGCCTGATTCGAACACGTGCTTTCTGGGAAGCACGCCCCCACGTGTTCCCCACCATGACCTCACTGCTGCCCCTCCCGCTGCCCATTTAGACCCTGTGGTGCAGCCTTGTACAAGTACTGGGAGTGCCTTAGCTAGCTATCCGGGTCCACAAGACCAAATAGAGACCCTCCTGGCCAATTTAACTGCCCAGCTGACCCGCGAGGTAGCCATCCCCGCCCTCGACCTCGGCTCATCGGATTTATTTGGGGAACTTGGGATTCAATTTTGAAATATTAAGTTGGACACAAGTAAATGACCGTAAGCGGTTTCAGGTGCCCCCTGGCGACTGTACAGTCTTTCTCTGGTCGCCGCTCTCTCCTAGCCGGCGCCCCAATCCAACCGAGCGCACTCTGGTGGAGGCCACGCCGGGCTGTCGCCGAGCCCTCTCACTCGCGGACACCCACCCCCAGGCCGGGGGGCGGCGCTGCGGTAGCTTGGGGAGGGCTGCGGGGGCGGGGACGCCGGGCGGGGGCGGCGCGGCTGGGAGCTCCAGGAGCGGAGCGCCTGGACCGGGACCCGGGCAGGGACCCGGGTTGCGCGGGCATGGCGTGGCCCTGCATCAGCCGCCTGTGCTGCTTGGCGCGGCGCTGGAACCAGCTGGACCGCTCCGACGTGGCGGTGCCGCTGACCCTGCACGGCTACTCGGACCTCGAGAGCGAGGACCCAGGCCTGGGAGGCACAGCCTCGCGAAGGATCCCGACCCCCGCCGGCGGCCGGGACTCTGGCCGGGACGTGCCACTCACTCAGTACCAGCGCGACTTTGGTGTGTGGACCGCGCCTGCGGGAACCCGAGATGCGGCGCAGGGACGCGGTCCGGGGGCGGGCGGCCGCAGGAGCAAGTCCTCGGCGCCCGGCGCCAGGGGGGTCTACGTGCTGCCCATTGGCGATACGGACACGGGTGCAGCAGCGACCACGTCGTACAGGTATTGGGCTGGGGTAGGGACACCCTCCAAATTCACACCCCGTGGTGGAAGGAAACACCCGGAGCCAGGAGGATGGGGGTGGGTGGGATGAGAGGAGGCTCCTGGATTCCACAAGACCTCGACAGCAGCTGGTGGCTAGAGGTCACCGTCTTGGTTCCCTGGCACTGCAGATGCCACCTTTGCTGCTCCCTTCCCTATCCAGACCCAAAATGAATGATCACTTCCATGGACCAGAATCTCACCCCCTCACAGCCATCTCCCTGCCCCCAGCAGCCAGGTCAGAAAGGCCAGCCTTCGCCGAGTTGAAATCTGCTTCCTTTAACTTCAACCGGGTGGGCCTCGCCACAGCGGGGGGGGGTGTACACAGGCCAACTGGTCTGGCTCCCTCTGCTCTGGGCCCTCTGTGGGAGCATTGGGCGGTCACAGAGTCCCTTAACATCCAAACTGTCCTTTCGCTGAGGTCAAGTCTACAGGTCCTTACCGTCTCCCTGCCCTGGACAACTTAGGACTTCATTGTTACTACAAAAATAATTCACATTCGCTCACAGAAGAAAAATTGGAAATGACAGAAATTACTAAAGGGGAAAAAAAAAATCCATTAGCCCCTTCCCAAACCGAGGTTCTAATTCTTAATGTGCATTTCAATGCATAGAAGCTGACACATTCCTTCATGGTTCCATTTGTACTGTACACATTTTCCCACCTACTTTGTAAGTCTGGTCATGTTACTAGATGTTCTTATACAACATGAATTTTAATAAATGTGCAGTGCATTATCCTATGGGTTCTACATCTATATATCCCAATATTATCTGCCTACTCCCTTATTAAATATTTAGGGTATTTCTGGTTATGAGGTTACTGGAAACACTACTATTCTGATGGTGCAGCTATTTCAATACTTTAGGAATTTTCCCTTCAGGTTTCCTGATGATGAGGTGGGAGTATAAAATACATGGAAACGTTTTGCCAGTAGTAACAGCCCCCTTAGTCCTAATATGAGGGATTGGCTAATTATGGCATTGCCATGGGGCAGGATACCCAGAAGCCTGCATGCAGTGATAACCCAAGACCTTAAACGTGTCTAAGAACAGGTTCCTTCATAGGTGTGCACTGTTCAAGGGATCTGATGGGGGCTGTGGTTGCAGGGTGGGTTTTGTGCTCACTGACACATGCTCAGGCTGAACTGCTGAAACTCAGGTACCCCTGTTGATGGCAAGTCAGACACCATGACCATAGCTGGGTCTTGCACAGGTCTGACTACTGGCCAATGGGGAGGTGAGCTAGCTGGCAGGGCCAGAATGGTGAGAGGCCCTAGGGTGCAGCATCTTGGAGTGGTTGAGGCTCTAGAAACAAGAACAAGGAGTGGGGGCCTGCCAGGGAGAGGGTTCCAGCGCAGGGGAGGAGTTCCTTTCCAATAAGCAGAACTGTCTGACAGTAAGCTGTTCCTTACTGGAGATGTTCAAGCAAAGTCTGGGCTATTTGAAGCAGTTCCTCCCCCTAATCCACAGTTCTGTACTGCCTGTGGATTAGCTCCCCAAGCCCTTAGTTATCACTGTCCCCATTCCACAGATGAAGGACTGGTGCATAGTCACACAGCTCTGAAGGACAGAAAAGAGAATAAGCCAGTTTATCTTGCCTCAGACCAAATTTGTGACCCCCAGAGGTTATTATTACTTGTCTAGGCCACCGCCTCTGAATCAGTGTCCCAAAGCCAGCAGTGAAAAGAACTGACAATGGGATCAGGGACTCAGTGGCACTCCCATTTTCTGCTGTATAAACCAGGCCTCCTGGACCCTCATATGGAGAGTAGGAACAGTGAGAGCAGACCCAGACCCCTGCTCCCCACTGAATTTGGCTCCCCCAGCACCACACCAGCTGGTC